ACACATACTATCAATGTGTTGCATGTGCCAAGCACAGTACATCTCTCATTCACTGAATTCTCAATCCAAAGATCGTGTAAGGTTATTACCATCCGTATTTCACAGAATGGGAAAAGGTGGATGAGAGGAAGTGACTTGCCCAACCAGCAAGTGGCAGGAATAGCACTCCCCTTTCTGAGTCTCTGCCTCATCACCCATCTCATCCATCTCGGCAGGGGAATGCAAAGGAGACTTTAAAAGGATGCTGCAAACTGTGGAATACTCCAAAGACACTTCATCCTCTACTGGGGGTCAACGTTTATCTATGCCTTTGCTTCCTTCTCTCTCCCACATCCACATTCCTGGCACCCCTGCCCACCTGGGAGTGGGGCCTGGGGTGGCAAAGAGCTAGGCGTTTGCAGGGCCAGAAAAGATCTGGGAGGCCATTTCATCCATGCCCCTGTGCCTAGGCAGAGTAGAATAAATCCAAGGGGAATAGGTGGTGATATCTCCTATTGAAGAAGAAAGAGATCTCACAAATTCATGGCATAGACCAGTGGTCGGCAAACTGCGGCTCGGCAAACCACGACCCGCGAGCCACATGCGGCTCTTTGGCCCCTTTAGTGTGGCTCTTCCACAAAATACCAGCTCTTCCACAAAATACCGACTTCTGTGCATGGGCCATGAAGTTTCAATCGCACTGTAAGTGCACGCCAGCACATGGTATTTTATGAAAGAGCCACACTGAAGGGGCCAAAGAGCTGCATGTGGCTCACGAGCCGCGGTTTGCCGACCACGGGCATAGACCAAGCATGCTTTTGGCGCTTACTATTCTAGTCCTTTGAGATAGAAGCAAGACCCTGGGATCTGGTTCTATTCTGCCACTGTGCGTCCCCGGGAATGCCACACACTCTCCTCCTGTACCCCAGCTTCCGCTTGAACTCTTCTTCACAGTCACATCTCTTTACTTCACAGGGGCAAAGACAAAGAATGCCCTCGCCCTTCCCTACATCCTGGAGGAAGACAGCAGCACACAAAAGAGCGACCAGAGCAGAACCCCACCCCCGGGGAGAGGAAAACCAGGAAAGACTCTGCTGGGTGTTTATGAAATTCACCAGCAGCTGCTTCCTCTGCTGAACCCGCAGCCACGACGGCCTGGCCCTGCCCCGACACCTCCCAGGGCCCCATAATTTGCCATCTGTTAGGGGGTCAAAGGAGGAGGTGACCAGAAAGGAAATGAACTGATGTCTGTCCCCTCATCCCAGTCCCTGGAGTGGATATGGTGAGTCCAGCTGAAGAGATCACACCTTGACAGGGTGACTGTGTGTGTGTGTGTGTGTGTGTGTGTGTGTGTGTGTGTGTAGGTGGGAGGGGGACTGAGAATGTTAGCATGTGCCTGTGTTTACATGGACCTGTCTGTGTGTGTCTGTGGTTCTGAGCGCAGGTGAGACATGGAGAGGATGGATGTCTGTGGGTCTGAGTATGACTGGATCTGCCCTCTGGGTCTCTCTGGGCACTGGCTAACATGGGAGGGGACTGAGAATGTTAGCATGTGCCTGTGTTTACATGGACCTGTCTGTGTGTGTCTGTGGTTCTGAGCGCAGGTGAGACATGGAGAGGATGGATGTCTGTGGGTCTGAGTATGACTGGATCTGCCCTCTGGGTCTCTCTGGGCACTGGCTAACATCATCCTGTGTACCTCTGCCCACGTGCGTGAATGTGTACATCAGTGTGTGGGCCCATCTGACCCTACATGCCCATGTCTTCATATTGAGTCCATGACGCCGGGTAGGTTTTCTGTCTGTGTTGGGTACCGTTGTCTTCTCTCTCTGAAAAGGGTTCAACTAGTGAGCGGGGGGGCCGAACCCACGCCTGTCTGGCATGTGATTGTTGTCTAGACACGCCTACTTGCTGTGACAGGACTTACTCCCCAGACCCGTGTAAAAGTGCTTGGCTGTCACGGCCTGTTGCTGAGGCTCCACAGTGACTAAGCCAACATCCTAGGGTGATGCACTGCACTCATGGGGGCTCAGAGACATGTCATGAACCCCAGTAGAGGCCATCTTCCTGGGCATTTCAGTGATTTGGTAACATCTGAGAGAGCAAGTCCAGCTTAGTTACTACAGAGTCAGCGATGCCACAGATTGTGGGAGAAGGTCACAGAGCTACAGGGAAACTTGGCTGGAGGGGAAGTGTCTTGCCTGAGGTCACAAGCTAATTCCTCACTCATTCTTTAACCAATGCTTACCAAGCACCTATTGTGTGTCAACCACTGTGCTAGGTGCTGAAAATGAATAATCAGAAAGTTAAGCCATGGAGTCTGCTACTAAGACATCTGCAATTATATTGGGGAGACAGACATCTGAGCAGACACTTATGATAGAACCAGGCTGAATACCACAGCAGGAAAAACATGCAAAGGGCCACCTGGGGGCACAAGATATGGCAGACCAAACAATGGCCCCCAAAGATGTCCTGTCCTAATCCCCTGAACCCATGACTATGTTATCTGACGTGGCAAAGTAGACTTTGCAGATGTGATTAAGATAAAGATCTTGAGATGGGAGAGATTACCCTGGATTATCCAGGCGAGTCCAATGTAATCATGAGTCCTCGTAAGAGGGAGGCAGGAAAGTCAGAATCACAGGAGATGTGACGATGGAAGCAGGGGCCAGAGAGAGCGAGAGAGAGACTTGACGATGCTACGCTGCCGGTTTTGAGTATGGAGGAAGGGACCACAGCCAAAGCATGCAGGCCGGCTCTAGATCAGCGGTTCTCAACCTACGGGTTGCGACCCCTTTGGGGGTCGAACGACCCTTTCACAGGGGTTGCCTAAGACCATCGGAAAACACATATATAATTACATACTGTTTTTGTGATTAATCAGCATGCTTTAATTATGTTCAATTTGTAACAATGAAATTGGGGGTCACCACAACATGAGGAACTGTATTAAAGGGTCGTGGCATTAGGAAGGTTGAGAACCACTGCTCTAGATGCTGGGAAAGTCAAGAAAACGGATCCTCCCCACTGCCTCCAGAAGGAACACAGTCCTGCCAACACCTTGATGTTAGCCCAGTGAGACCCATTTTGAAATATCAAACTCAAGAACTCTAAGACAGTGGATTTGTGTTGTTTTGTAGCACTACATTTGTGGTAATTTGTTGCAGCAGCAACATGGGAAACTAACACAGAAGGTTTCATCAGAGATGAGGGAAAACTGGGACTGTGTAACACCAACAGGGATGACTGTGTAAGAGCTCAGGGAGTTGGAGAGTATTGACAAGTTCCGTGTGCCTGGAGAGGAGCAGGAGATGAGGCCCTGAGAAGAAGCTTGGGTCTGACAGCACTGGCTCTGTGTGGACCCACCTCCTGGCTTCTCTACTTACTAGTGCACACACCCATGCCCCACTGTCACGTCACATGGAAGGACCGAGCACGGAGCATCCAGAACAAGCTGGTCAGTGACAGCCACTCCCATCAACAGCTGCTCTCCCAAATTCCCTCCCCCTGGCCTTGACTGGAAAAAAGAAAGGAATGAACAAAACCACCAAAACAGCCAGTCCCTGAGGTTAGGGTTCCCGTGCCAGGCTGGCACGCAGCTCAGAGGCCACTTTCGTTGCGGTGCCCACTTGGATCGCCCCTACTCCCGCCCCTGTTCTTGCACACTGCACTGAGTCCGGCCCTCGCCTGCCCATTGAAGTGCCCCGTTCCGATCTCCATTGCAGCCCCACACGGGACTGTAACTCCCGTGGTTGGCCTGACTATGGGAGTGACTAGACTTGGATGTCCTTGGGAGCAAGGTCTGTGTCTTATCCATCCTCTGTCTTTAAGAGAATGTCCTTAGAGTGTTCTCAGGAAAGGGAACATTCACTCATTGAGTCTAGTGTCTTGCTGCAAGGCATGCATTTATCTTCTCTGAGCTAGGATCCCTGCCAGGCCTTGGTGAGACAGGGAGAATTAGATATATATTATACATGGGCCTGCCCCCAAGGAACACACATTCTAAAAGGAGGAACACCAACAAGTTCAACACAGATAAATGCTCTCACAGGAGGGTGAGAGGTTATTGTAGGGGGACATGGGGCTGCAGGCAGGCTTAGAAATTAGGAAAGGACAGGGGCTGGCCCCTATCGCTCCATTGTTCATGATTCCTTCCGTGAATGAGCAAGGGTTATACTAACAACAGTACAACCTATACACACATGGTGCTTAAACATCCAGCCATTACTGGATTCCTGCTGGGCTAGGGGGAGCCCCCCTGAGAAGGGCCCAGAAGGCACAATATCAGAATAGGTGCTCGTTCATGTTTGCTGAATACACCCCTCAACACTTTTAGCAGGCAGGAAAAGCAGATTCCCAAGGCGAGCGAGTCTCAGAGAAGGGGAATACCGTAACCCACCCTCACTAGGATCAGCATGTCGAAAGGGCAACCCATTCACTTGGGGCAAATCAGAATGTGGCCCATCCCAAGGCCATTCTCTAGGGAGCTCTGTGACAGGATGGGTAAGGCCCTCAGGCTGGGGGAGGCCTTAGCCTTCACCAAACTCCCTCTTCTCCAGCCAACACTGAGGCTAAGGTCTGACCAAAGGTCACAGACAGAAGTTCTCCCAGAAGCTGAGTTCTACTAAACAGTAAGTGTCCACCAAAGCAGCATTTGAGTACCCTGAGTCAGGACTTAGAGTTGGCATGTGACCTGGGGCAAGTTTCTTCCCCTCTCAACCCGAAATGCCCTCAGAGATAAAGTGAGTTGAACATATTCTACAATCTCTTCCAGTTGTGACATTCTGCCATTGTTTACGGAGCAGAGGATGTGCAGACCCTGTCGGATGAAAATGCACAGGCTTGAAAGAGGCGGTCATGATTCTCATTTTGCTGGAGGGGTCCCGGGGTGGGTGACTCCTCGGATACCAAGCAGAGAAGAGGACCGAGAGCTTTCTGGCTGTGGTCCCTGAGCCGGAAACACTTACAAAGCAGCAGCCCAGGGCTTGCTTGCATACTGAGGACAAGCTGCTACTTACTATGCAACAGGCGACCAGGGCTCCTTGAGCAAATCCTGCCAGGACGTCGCTGGGATGGTGCTTGTGGTCAGATACGCGGGACAGTCCTGTGTAAAAGGCCATCATGATCAGGGTGAACTGCAGGAGGGGCCGGAGCAGACGAGCACCTCGCCAAGTGAAGCGGGCCTGAAGGTACAGCTGGAGGCGGGAGAGAAAAGGAACAGACACTAAGTCACTCACTGTTGAGGGCATTATAGTGCCTGGCCGACACACACTGCATCTGGACCTTGGGGTTGGCATCTTGTAGAAAGAGCATTCGACTTGGATATGACCTCAAGCCAGTTTTTTAAACCCTGATCCTATACTAAAAAAATAAGAAAAAGTGAGTTTTCCGAGGGAGATCAGCTAGAGCGAGTTGAGGAAGATAATACATGACAGTGGCCTTAGCATATGACTGGCACATACTAGACACCTAATAAATGTTTCATTTCCTTTTATTTACTTCTTGATTAAAACTCATTAAATAGTAACCAGGGTTACTAGAGGTTACTTTTCAACAAATGATAACTCCTTGAGCGCATCTGTGCGGTTTCCTGGAGCCTGTGGCTATGCAATCCCTGCAGGGCCTGCCTCTCAGCAGATGCATGATGATAAGCAGGTTATCCTGATAGTCACCAGAGATGCCTGAGCGTCAGAAGAAAGCACCTTATCAGAGGACAGGTTCCTAAGTCATGGCTTGTGCCAGTGGATGTCGGATTAGAAAATAAGGACACACTCATCATCCAGACAATGCCAGAGGACTTGCAGAGAGAGGCTGACAGACACTGGGCTGGGTGGGGCAGGAGAGTAACCTGAAGAAAAATTAAAGAAAAAAAAAACCACCTCTGGCCGAAGCAAAAAAGCTGAAATGACGTCAACTGGGCATTGTCCCCCCATAGTTATCTTGCTGCAGTTTCCGTTCTAACCTCTGGGCACAACCCACTTTCCAGGTTCCTGTGGGAACTTGGGAAACGTGGGGGGGAAGAAGCAAGGGGACAAGGGGAACTTCCGACGACAAATCAAAGCAAAGCCCTGGGAGAGGCCAGGAAAAAGGGGAAGCGGGCCGAGGGGAGGGGGCTGGCGGCCTAAAGATAGGCCTCTGCCCTTCCTGAGACAAATGGACACTTTCCTTTTGGTGGCCAGGAAAGACCACGCCAGCAGCCGGGCCTGAGAAGACAGAGGGTGGAAGATTCTGGAGTCACTCTTGCTTGTGTAGGAAGAGGGCCTAGCACTGAATCCTCAACTATGTTGAAGACTATTTGCTAAACAAGGGATGAAAATCAATGTGTGTTTTTTTACATATAAAAAAATAACCAGTTAAAGATCTAAAAGAGGTAAAATCATCATAATAACAAAGATGATTAAATAAGTAGTAATTATCTTACAAAACCGACATAGCTTTTATGAAATAAGGAACATAAAGGACAATTTAAATGGAGAGCTAGAATTTTATTTCTAAGAACACTTCACTTACAAAATTGAGTAAATTGGCATGTAAATTCAATCAGATTCCCATGGATATCTGTAAAAATTTGGAGGGGGAAAAACCTGGAAAAAAATATTCTAAAACTAACCTACAGGGCCCAATCTATGGAACTAGGGAGAAATAAAACAAAAAATTAAATTAAAAAAAAAAAACAAACAAGCATTATGATACACGTGCTAAGCATACAAAATGAGAAGTTATAATTCCTACCCTATGGGTCATACAGTTGGGGGCAAGGGGAGCTACATGAAAACAAAAACAAGTATACTTAGGGGTTTTATAGGAACTATGAAAGAAGTTGGGGTGAGTTACCAAGTGCAGGGATATTTGACTTGAATCCTCAAGATGAATAAGTGTTTCCTAGGAGTTAAGGGGACAGTAGTGAGGGATGTGTATTTAGGCAGCTGGATGACTTAGAAGCCAGCAATCAGAGCTCACGGCACTTCGAGTGGCTCAGCTCAGCTGAAGAAGGTGTTGGGGGCTGGTGAGAAACAGAGGCTAGAGGCAAGCAGAGGCTGCTCATGAAGGGTATTGGGTGTCAACCAAGGAACTTGTCTTTATTTAGGAGGTCAGTCTTTCCTAAGCCGTACTGCATGGACTTTTAGGGGTCTTTTTAAAAAAAAGAATGGTAAATGCTCTATACTAAATCTGTTTTCATCATTTACAATAATTAATTTTACAGGACATCTACTTATTGAGTCCCTGTTGAGAAATGTTTCTGTAAGCAATGGTGAAAAATTAAATGGTTCTAAGCAAGACATGAGGTACCATAAAAAAATAATCTACCATAAAAAATAATCTGCACATCAAAGGCTAGTCCCTCATTTCTGCTGAAATGATGCAACAGCAGATTCTACAACTATGAATCAAAGGCTCCCTTCCTTTGGGAACTTGGGATGGGGATGATGTTGGTGTAACTCCAATTCAACCCAAGTCTTAAGGACAATGGCAAGTTCAGGGAACAAGGAATTTGTATTGAGCCCATGATGGTCTGATCTTCACCAGCAAGTCTTGTCAGTGGATGGGGTGAGGTGGGTAACAGAAAGAGCACAGGTTTTCATCAGAAAAACCTCACCGAGCCCGGCTGGTGTGGTTCAGTGGTTGAGCATCAACCTATGAACCAGGAGGTCACTGTTCGACTCCCGGTCAGGGCACATGCCAGGTTGTGGGCTCTATCCCCAGTAGGGGGCATGCAGGAGGCAGCTGATCAATGATTCTCTCTTATCACTGATGTTTCTATCTCTCCCTCTCTCTTCCTCTCTGAAATCAATTAAAAAAAACATATTTTTTTTAATGTAAGAAAAACCTCACTGAGCCTCAGTTTTCTCACATGTATGATAAGTGTGATAACCACTTTCTTACAGATTGCAGTCCAGATCGGTGGTAATGCAGATCAAGCATCTGGCACCATATGCTGCTCAATCAACAGATACCTTACTCTCTAACCATTTTCTTAACTCGGACCTAAGATTTTCTAATTTCCCTCAACTGAAAAATCAGCAGGACTTCAGAAAAGGCTAATTCAACATTTTCGAAAACTTCCCCCCCCCCCCCCCCCCCCCCCCCCCCCCCGGTCACAGGCCTGGAAATCAGGGTGGGGCAGAGGAAGGGTGGGTTTCCCAACCGGACAAGGCACACATCTCCCCTTCCACTGACTCACATACTTAAGGCTGGAGCTTAATGAAAGAAAAAAATGAGAGGAACTTGAGGAGAGAGGGAGAGAGACCAGTCATCAGCAGCAGGAAAAGAATGCTTATGAATGAGCAAGGAGCAGGGGCCATGGGGAAAGACTCGTCTTGGGAAGCAGTAAGACATGGAATTACAGTGGGAGGCGGGGGGAGGGTGGACGCACGGAAGGTTGTCCCCATCCTACACATTTATGGAGAAATGTCTTGAGATCTTTGGACTGGTCCTGGTGTCTGCAGCTGGAGTTTCAGGGGAAAGCGCAGTGGTAGTAAAGTGAGTTTGGGGGTGACAGCCCTGATTCCGGTCCTGGCTCTCCCACTCACTGTGTGATCACTTCTCTAAGCCTCCTCATCTTGGCAGAACAGCAAGCCTCTCCCTCTCAGGGTTGCCAGGACTCCATGAGACAATACGGGATCCTGCCTGGCATGAGATGGGTAGGCAAAGCACTCTCTCAGAAATCCACACCACCCTTTCGCCTTGGTAAATGAGATTTACTCAATGCCTGCGCTTGATTTCAGCAAAACAAGTCAATTGCTAAACAAAGATTACACAACGACCTTCTACCCAGTGGCGACTTCTGATCTGAGAAGTAAGTGGCAGCAACAGGCTGTGAGGTTGATCGAAGGACCTGATGACTCCCTCCATCCCACAGCAATCAAACTGCTAATTAGTGGTCGGCAAACTCATTAGTCAACAGAGCCAAGTATCAACAGTACGATTGAAATTTCTTTTGAGAGCCAAATTTTTTAAACTTAAACTATATAGGTAGGTACATTGTTATTAACTTAATTGAGGTACTCCTAAGGCTTAGGAAGAGCCACACTCAAGGGACCAAAGAGCCACATGTGGCTCGCGAGCCGCAGTTTGCCGACCACGGTGCTAAGTGAACTGAATTTTACTGGTTCATAGCCCAGTTCGCAGGAACCATTCCAGGCCAGAGGCGTAGACCTCGCTGCGATCAGTAAGGACTTTCTGGAGCACCCTGCCCCCTTGGAAACCTGAGCCTGGGAAACTATGTGGGTCAGCAGGCTCCATTCACTCCCACTCCACAAGGGCAGGTACCCCTAAGGCAGGAGAGGACGTCAAACCTCCTGACCACGAGGATGTAAATGGACCGAACAGCAAGGGGACGTTCCCAGAATCAGAATTCCTACAGGAGCTTCATCACAGTCTTAGGCACCCTGAAATGGGGGGAGCAGAGCTGGAGAGAAACCCAGAAAGCCTAAACCACCCTGACCTCTCATGCTGCTCAGCAGCTCCGAGGGCCTGTCTGATCCACCTTCACATCCCTGTGTGTGGGAAGGTGTCTGGGCTGGAAGAATCCACTCCCTAACCATCAGTGTGATGTTGAAAAAGCAAATAGTGTTTGACATGCAATCAGAGCAACTAGGTTTGAATCTTTTCTGTGTTTCGTACTAGCTGTCTGACCACGGACAAGTCACAGTGCTTCTCTGAATTTCTGCTTTCTCATATGTAACATACAGAGCTTTGTTCACTAAAAAGAAAACACACCCATATATTGTGAGCATCTATTCTATTCAAAACTCTGCAAAAGACACAGACATGAATAAAATAAGTTCCTTCATGAGAAAAGAATATAATTTTAAAGCCCTTTTCTTGTACTAACAGTTTCTTGCCAATTGCTAACACTGCTATTGTAGAGATGATGAAGATGACATCCTATCTATAATATGTGTTGGGTCGCCCCCTTCTCCCATCATGTGTGTGGAAGTCCCTGGCACAAGGACCTCACCCTATGAATGGAGTTCTCTTCTTCCTGGTCTTCGCTTCAAAATCGGGGTCCTGTGGAATTCTAACAAAACCTCCTTAGAAAGCTCTGGCTGGACTCGATCTGGCTCCCTGGGTCTTTACTAGCAGAGTTAGATGTGGGGTGAGTCACCCTCCGTTTTTGCTAAGTCATTTGTGTTTCATTACGTGATGATTTGCATACTGGTGAAACAGGTCTGCACTGTCCTCTGGCTTCATTTCCATCACTCCGGGGACAGCTCTGCTGAGAGTGAAAAGGAGGCTTTTGTCCTTCCTTCTGTCCCTGCCTGCTCTCTTCCTGGAAGTTTGTCCAGATCGCTGACACCCACAGGGTAAAACTTTCTCCCTTCTCTCGTCTCCTCAAGTGGTTCACACTTGGCTCTGGCTCATGTGCCTGGTGACTCGTCTCATGGTGCAGAACTGGGATTTCTCTCTAGGAAGTTATTCAACTACTTTCAGGACAAAAAAGAAATTTTTAGTCGACTTTTCTTTTTCTTCAGAAGGGAGTCAGCCCGGCTAATGTGGCTCAGTGGTTGAGTGTTGACCTATGAACGAGGAGGTCAGGGTTTGATTCCAGGTCCGGGCACATGTCCAGGTTTCAGGCTCAATCCCCAGTAGGGGGTATGCAGGAGGCAGCCAATCAGTGATTTTCTCTCATCATTGATGTTTCTATCTTTCCCTCTCTCTTCCTCTCTGAAATCAATAAAAATATTTTTTTTAAAAACTTTAAAAAAAGGGGGAGTCAGATCTTGTTTTCTGTCACTATCAGGGGTAGAAAAAGAAACTACCATTTTGGTGAGCACTGTTTTAGATACTGTGAGAGGTGCTTTAAATGACATAACCAGCATTGTTACAGCATTCTCTTAGGTTTGACACCATTGTGCCCATTTTGCAAATAAAAAGAACAAGTCCAAAAAAGGTCATGTCACTTGTTCAAGGTAACAAAGAGCCATGTTTTACATGGAGTAAGATTTGTTTCTTTCTAAGTCCGTACTCCTAATCACAGAACTACCTGGCTTCCTTAGGTAATTAGTACTTCCCACACAAAGTATTGGGATCTTATGTATTGAACTTCGGCCTTTGGAGAAAAGAGGGGACTACATAGCTGTCCTGAACTAAAGGCCAATCTGCATGGGACATTTGGAACTTCAGGCTCCTCCCATTTCACACTTTGATAACACCTAGGTCTGAAACACAAGTGCACAGCCTTTGTAAGCGTTATGTAGAATCTCTGACCCGCTCGTAAGCTAAAGGCACCTCACAGCAGAGTTAAAGGCCCTTTCCTCTGTGCTCTAACCCTTCAGTCTACCCTGGATCAGAGAACTTATCTAGTTGTTTTTCAGCCATGTATTTTTCAGGCTTCACACACAAAATGGCGCTCTTTCGATGTCCCTAGGTGCTCACAAGGTCTAATTATAGGTCACTAACACAAGGAGGCTGGAAGGATGGGTGGAAGGAGGAAGGGAAGGAGGGAGGGAGGGAGAGAGCAAGGGAAGAAAGGATGGGTGGATGGGTGGATGGGTGGATGGGTAGATGGAAGAGAGCAAGGGATGAAAGGATGGGTGGATGGGTGGATGGATAGATGGATGGATGGATGATGTAGAGAAAAAACATCTGGCACAGTGGTGGATTCCACTTGCAAACAGCAATCTTGTTCCTACAAAGTTTCAGCAGACACCCCCAGGATCTGTGGATATGCCTCGTGGGTACACCAGACCTCACTGCTCCAGGATTCTAAACATGTTGAACAAAACCTCAGTGACTAACAACCACAGGCCGAAAAACACGGCTGTCGAGCCACTTCCCTGTTTCCTTGGTACCCGGCATACCCTCTGACACATAAACAGTTCTCACGAGCACCACAGTAAAGAGTCATTCATTCGGTAAACAGTTCAGCGAAGACGCAGCAAAGGTCTCCTTTACACCACGCAGGCCCCTCATGATCTATTAAGTCAGCGATGAGGAGACAAAGTTCTGATTGCAACGGAAAGAAGCTTACAGTTTCTCTGGTGGATATATACAAAGAAGTGAATGGCGAGAAACTGGGATGAGAAACTTCCTTACACTCCTCAACTGGGGATCAAACCCACAACCCAGATATGTGCCCTGACTAGGAATAGAACCCGTTAACATTTTAGTGCACAGGAAGATGCTCAACCAACTGAGCCACTCCGGCTGGGCTGGTTTCTATAAATTTTGGAAATTACTTGAATTCTCGGAGCCTTACTTGGTAATCCTTCCCCACAACAGAAATGATGTTACTTATGAGATAAGACTCCTGTAACAATCAACTGAGTTAATGGATTTTCGGAAAACAGTGCTTATTAATAAATTTATACAAAGTGTTTTCATCACTTTATAATTTCAAAATGGGTACTCAATGCTTATCAAGCAGATATGCTAACTATTATTTTTATTTGAAAAATGGAGAAAATCCTGGAAAGTAAAACAACTTCTGCTAAGGCAATGGCTGAGCTCAGAATAGAACTTAATTTTTCTAGCTAATCTCCTTTTCAAGGATTTCACTGTAAATCTGTCCCTAGCCAATCGGGGGTTTCATGTACAGAAGGGATGTAAGCTGGGGCTGGATGCTGGACATTGGAATCAGAGGGCAGATACTTACCACCAAATACAGCATGGTGTACATGGAGAAGGAGGCGTGGCCAGAGAAGAAGGACTTCCTGCAAGAGGAAGAGAGGGCCATGAGAGCCGTATTCACATTCCCGTACACATTTGACTCCTGTCTTCTCTGCCTAGATTGTCACCTTGAGAGCAGCACTATTTGTTTATTTTTGCATCCTTGATGGTACTTTGGATGATTGTCTGGAACCTTGCAGGCACCCATGAATGAATGAACAAACGAATGAATGAATGAATGAACTTACCTATACTATATCATACTTGTTTATTTGCATATCTATAATCATTTGTGAGTTCCTCAAGAGCAGGGACTCTGTCATACTTGCCCATCAAACCCAGAGCACAGCGCCGGGCCTGGCACCTAGGAGATGCTTTGTATATGCTCACTGAACTGCCTGCATCAAACGGGTGCACATAGTGGTCATGGGAGTGGTGCCTCACCTGGCTTCCTGGACTTTGCTGTCATCGCCTCTGCATTTGTAGTTTTGAACGTAGCCCTCGGAGCAGTTGATGAGGCTGAAGTCAGGGTTGCAGACGCTCAAGAAATGAGGACGCAGACGTCCTATGGAGACTTTGGCAATGTCTGTGAAGGACTGGCTGATGGCACAGCCAAAGAGGAAGCAACCCACTTGCTTATAGAGGGCTGCCACGTAGGGATTCCGAATCGTGGACCGGGACTTCTCCTTCAGGTAATAGATCCGGTAGAATTCCCCTGTGATGATCTAAAAGGAAAGCAAAAGGGGAATTAGGCAGGATCAAGACCCATTATCAAAACTGATGCTGTAAAGGGTATTTAACAATGTAAGAGAATGTTCAGTACATAACTGCAAGTTATAATCTAGGAAACCCCAAGTTCTATTTAAAAGCATAAAAATACAAATATGCACGGGAGGAACGTTCTAAGTGCTAACATGGACGTCATTTCCCTTGTTCAAGGAAGTCCTGCATAGCCATAGAGTACCTTCATAATAAAAACATACACTCAAATATTGTCATGCAAATACACATTTCAACATAAGAAAGATAAATAAGAACTTAGCTACATAAAATACATCTACATGAAGAAGCAAGAACAGTTAAGAGTGGTCAGGATGTCAGAGGATCGAAGCAAATGTGAGGACTCTGGGATTGGGGTAAAGGATCACCAACAACAATCTAACTCTACAAAGGGCCTCAGCCTTGTGCCAACCCTGAGCCACGGTGGGGGTTTCTGTAGTAAAGGGTGAATGCCCCAAGGCCAAGTCCCGAGTTTGAGTCTGAACTCTGCCACCTACCTGGTGTCCTTAACCTCTCCAGGCTTCAGTCCCTCCCTCCAAGAAAGGAGGCTACACACCTTTGCAGAGTTTTTGGCTTAAATGTGATAAATAAACTGGGTCATGGAAAGTGATTATTCCATCTTCCTTTTTAGAAGCACTGTACGATGAAATGAACACTGGTTTACAAACCAGGAACTTTTCATACAATGCCCTTCAGTGTTGGTGAATTTTCTCAAGTCTGGTTTGCATTGTCCCTTTGATCCTGAAGGACAGCGAGTCTTGATTTTCGTACCCTTCCTTTATCACTCAATGTCTACTTCTTGACACTCAGGGGACATTTATCACTATTTAAAAAAAAGAGAGAGAGAGCTACCGATCACTGAATCCCTACTTCATACCAGGCATTGCTTTTATATACTTGATTTTGTGAAATCCTCACAGCAACCACGATAGATACAATTGAGGCTCAGAGCGGGGATGCACTTCAACTGAAGCTGCCTGGTTTTATAGTAAGAATGTGGGTGGGGCCAGCGGATTCCCTGTAGATAAATGCCTATGTTGCCTATGCAGCAGAGGACCGATTCTGCTCTGGTGATGCACCAAACCACACAGCCTGCTGCCCTTCTCTTAACTCCGCAGCACAGCCCTGGCCACTTCCTGGTTGTAACCACAGTCCAGGGGGAGCGATATTCAACTCATCACTCACCACAAAGGCCCTTTCACTCTTCCTCACAGGGCAGGAAGATGAGCCACACTTGCCCTTTCAGGGAGCAGAGAGCATGTTCACAACCACAAGGGAAGCAATAGGCTGACACGTCGGGCACTCCTTTCCAAAGACTCCTGTTACTCTTCCACAGCGGGGCAGGCATCAAGGCATGGGGTCTGACCCAAGTCCTCCAGGGCTCCAGAGGCTGGGGATAGGATGACCAGGAATAAAGGGTCATGCCAGCTGGGCCAAGGGCCAACAGGTGCAACAGTGAGAAGAGCTACTTCTACAGCTAACATTCATACAGTGATTCTGTGTTTATTAAGTGCTTGCCATTTATTTATTTTTTTAATGTGTTTTATTGACTTCAGAGAGAGGAAGGGAGAGATAAAAACATCGATGAGAGAGAAACATAGATCAATTCGATCAGCAGCCTCCTACAAGCCCCCTACTGGGGATTTAGCCTACAACCTGGGCACGTGTCCTGACTGGGAATTGAATCGGCAACCTCCTGGTACATGGGACAATGCTCAACCAACGGAGCCACAGTCGCCAGGCACTACTTATTTCTAAGTACTACATTTTGGTTTCCCAGATCAGATTGAGTGTGATTCTATATTAGAGGGAGACAATCAAAGGCCAGTCCAGCCAGTCTCCTGGCTTAGCCACCCCCTGAGTGAGCAGGACAGTAGTCTTCACAAATGCCTTATTGCAAAATTAGAAATATCCTCTAAACATTACCAAGAGTCCTTTGATAACACATTGCAAAGATTAAAATCTGAGAAGCATAGCAAGTCAGAAATGAAAGGGTCCATTATATACACAAGAAACTGAGGTCCAAGCTAACTCACATTTTAAAGATTAGACCCAGGTGTTCCGAGTCCCCACCCAGCATTCTTTCCTACCATTCAGGGCCTAATTCCCCTTTTGAACCTGTTTACACTTTTACCCTATGTAACCTTACAGGCTAACAAGTTCCAGATGTTTATAACCGCCATCATGTACTCTAACTCTTTCTTATTCCTCTTTATTTATAAGTCATGCTCACATGACTTTAGACACAGAGGGAAAAACACCAAAGTAAGAGTCAAGGTGCCAGGGTTCAAAAGTCCCTACTCATTGAGTGAATTTGGAATAAGTTAGGTTCTACATTTGCAAAATGAGGACGCTGGGCTCCATGATTTATTACCTCCTAATTGCAATGACATGTATTCTCAGCTCTCCTGTGCCACCTCCACCACTACCTCCCAACCCAGCAAAGGTAATAAGCAGTAGGAAGACAAAGTGCTTCCTAGGAGATGACCGCAGGCAAGGAGCGGAAGCAAGGCCCTGTGCACGATCCCTGCCCTTTGATTGCTCTTGAGGTTCTGGAACCGTATCTGTCACAGATTATGAAACTGTTTCTAAGTGGCTCAGCTTGAGTGTGATTTCCTATTTGATGCTGAGGAAGAACATGTGGGTTTCCACTGCAAATTGGTATCTTTTACATGAATTTACTAATGCATCTCAGGTGAGTTGCCTCTCTGCATCAGTCAGCTTAGACTCGCAGTGGTTCTCAACCTTGGCTGCACATTAGAATCACCTGGGAATCATTTTGAAATCCTGATTTCTGGGCCTCATCCTCCGGAAATTCTGTTTCTTTGTTATGGGGTGAGGCCACAACATTAGTAACAAAGAAACAGAATTTCCGAAGGATGAGGCCCAGAAATCAGGTTTAAAAAAGATTCCCAGGTGATCCTAATGTGCAGCCAAGGTTGAGAACCACTGGCTTAGAGAGAAAGGGCTTGATTACAACTCAAAGATTCCTTTCAGGTCTGACATGCTTCATTATAAAACTTCAGTTTTCCGTGCCCCAATCTTGCAAACAGTAAGTGGCTAATTAAAATGCTTCCTCTAATCATGGGGAGATAAAGAGAACATTTTATGGTACCTCAAATTCCTAATAACAATGTTAATCATAGCACCAATCATCCTCATTTCTTTTGCACTTTATAGTTTCATTTAATCTGCAACTCTGTGGAGAAGACATACCCATTTTAAAGATGGTAATATTGAGGCTCTGAGAGCTACTGATTTATCTGCAGGATTAAAAGGAGAGCTCAGATATTCTGACTCTCAAGTTCCAAGACCCACGGCTGACTACATTGAGAAAATTTTATTATTTCTATTGTTATGAAAAACAGTTTCCACTGTACTATAGCAATTGTATATTTTCAAGGATTGGACCAGGCTGAAGCCATTTAGCAGACACATGACTCCAGGACCACATGGCTTCTGGGCCAGCCCTGACAGATCTTGGAGTTAATGAGCAACAAATTATGTATTTTCTCTCTCCCCTTGTACAGAAGGGTCGGGGAGTCGACAACACAGCCATAAATCATCATTATGAACCAGCCGGACTTGGCTTCTTGTAATCCTAACCCTTAAAAGACCATTTAATGAAATTCGGGCTGTGAATGACGGCCCGCATACCTCACCTCTGCACAAGAGGCGAAGGCTTAAATTGTTCCCTGACACGTTACACACCTAACTCCGGAGTCCCAGATTTACTGCTTTCGGACTTTATTCATTACTCACAATGTTTTTATTCCTGGTTAATAAAATAAGCTCTTCTCTTCCCCTCCCTCTCCCCCTACAAAGGCTGTGTCCCCACCCCCAGACTCAGCCCCCTGGAGCCCTCAATTTTGCTTCAGTCAGCAAGGTTGTGATATGTAAATTTCACTGCTGAGACAAATGCCTTCAATGTTGATCCCTTTCTGAAGCAGCAAGCAACAGATTCTGGGGGGATGGCCGGCTGCCAGGCGAGCAGAGAACTCTCCCCTACCTGCCTCTTAAAGCACTTGGCACAGAATCTGGAAACTAATAAACTGGAAAGCACTGCAATTAAGCTACGAGGGGACAGAAAGGGATCAGTCCTTGCCTGAGAACGGCTGCAGTTTAGGGGGAGGTTGTCTCCAACTCTACGAGGGCCACTCTTCCTGTCTTTCCTGGTGAAAAAGAGCTCAACTGCCCACCTATTCACAAATATTGAACTGTTCTGGGGAGGAAATTTGGAGAAACATTGGGATAGACTTTCTGGATAGGAGAGAGGCTAGGATGGTGAGATAGCACTGACTCTGGAGCCAGCAGAGCCTTGGTCTGAATCTCATCTCTTAACCTTAGGCAAGTGACCTCATCGCTCAGGGTTTGATAGCATCTACCTGGCAGGATGGCGATGGGGACTCAAGTAGGCGGTATGTCAAATGGCCAGCATGTAGCTGAGGGGCCCTCTGAAAGTTAATTTTCTTCTCCCATTGGAGAAGGGGAAACAGAAAACTAACAAATACTCACAGAGAATATCTTTCCCAGATACTTCCAAGGGCTCCTTCCATTGGAGAAAGGGAAACAGAAAACTAACAAATACAGAGAATATCTTTCCCAGATACTTCCAAGGGCTCCTTGGAAGAGAACATTCCAGGAAGTAGTTTAGAAGTCCCACCCCTCCAGACACATGTGTATAGATGACGTGGGTTTTGACCATTTTATCTAAGATGACTTTTTCAAGGGAACAAACTGGAAGGCAAGTCTAAACCCAAAGCGGAAAGAGCATACAGCATCGTCTGTTTTTTTGTGTGTGTTTTTTTTAACATTCCACTCTATTTTAAATTACATCAAGAAAAGATATTTGCAGTGTCTCAAGGATCCCTCTTTTTAGAGATGCAGAACTCATCTCCTTTCCCTATTGAGTTCGAAGGACCAACTTCCCTATGTTATGATCTGC